TTTTCTGGCTGAAGTCAACCAAAATTAAATTCTGGATCATTTAGTGTTGAGCATTTAAGAGTTCGAGATTTGAAAACTGGCCTGAATGTATATCAATTACCATTATTCAAACACAGAATCCTTAAACTTTTTTTAAAATAAAAAACCACTGCCTTTTTAATTTTTTTTTTTTTGGGGGGGGGGGGCATCAAATTGATTCCATATCCAACATAAGATAGGCCATTACTATTATCGTTTTGTTTTCGAGTGATCTGTTGTGCTTGCAGAATTCTTATCTAATGCAGTCAGTCTCTGTACGGGAGCTATGCATTATCTTTTCAAAGTTTTAATTCTAATACATTCGTACGGATGGGTAAATAATAACACCGACTAAGGTTTTATTCTCAACGTAGATGATAAAACACACACTAATCTTTCCTCTAGACCAGGTTAAATGCAATTTACAATGGTCGCATGAAATATAGCGTAATTATCTTAATCCCATGTTGAATAATACGAAATAAATTTTCCCTGGGAAAGGATAAATGTAAACAAAACCCGAAGGTAAAGGATAATGGATCCGCTCTTTGTACAGCATGATGGGGAGATCCGGTAAAACATTTTTCATTCCTTCCATTTATAAAATTTAATTCAACAGCTTTCGTTTGCATAAAATTAAAACATGAAATCACCCATATTTATTATTTTTCACATTTTAAAATAGTATTCATGTTTTTCATTTATATGTTCATCTTATTTTATTTAGATAAATCATAAACATTTATATGCTAAATAGGTTTGGTTTTAAATTTGTTTTTGTACTAATCAATTAAAAAAAAAGTTATTGATTTCATTTTTAATAATATATTATTTGAGAGATTTTTTTTCTATTTATTTATTTTTACTATGCTTGTTTTTGTTTTTGGAGACTTTTATCTTAATACTATTTTAAAATCTGTATCAGCGAATAAAGGGTTTCAGTGGCAATATTCGAGTCCGGCTATGACGAGTAATTATTTATTCTGTTAAACCAGCTATTCATCGACCCTAGGTTTAAGAGAAGCTCCTTGGTCCAGCCACTACAAAGTTGGTACTCTTAATTAGGTAATTAATTAAGAGAAATAATCTGGTAGCTGAACGTGATCTCGGTCAAATCACTTCCTTGCCCAACGACGAAGATATTACTTCTTTACAAAGTATTGAACCCAAGGCCTTCTATCGATTGAATAGATACAGGTTATTTTTTTTTTTAAACTTTAGTTGTAAAAAATACATTTTTTTTAATATTGCCTAATAGTTGCTCGACATTTAGGTTCAGGAAGAAGATATTGCAAATTAATTCCAGCCCCCTATCATCTCCTTAAAAAAAAATTTTAAGTTTGCATTAATTTAAAAAAAATAATTGTTTAGTATTATATACTGCACATATGTTTGTACGAAGATAATTAAAGAAGACCCTGTGTACTATTTTACATATTTTAACTAGTTCAGAGATAAAAAAAAATTATTTACAATGTATAATAATTATACATAAACAAGCAATGATATGATTTTTGTTTTCCAATAGGAGTAGTGTAAGTTTATATGAACAGAATTAATCATATGAACGATTTTATTTTTTCCAAATGGATGAAAAAAAAATTATAATTATTTTAATTTTAGATTGATGGTTGACTCCAGTGAATAATTAAAGAGAAAAATGGTTGGGATGATCAGAAAAAAAAAGTATATCAGTATCAGTAAAAAAAACATAAAAGAAAAGTAAAAATAAATAAGCATATTTATATTTATTTGTGTCGACGTTTCGGCCCAAAGTTCAGGCCTCCGTTAGGGCTAAGAAGAAAACAGATAATAATAGGTATGTGGAACTACAAACATTAAAATAAAAAAAAATAATTTAACCTTTCACCTACTTATTAATTCGTTATTATTTTTTATATTTTAATGTTTATATTTTCTTATACCTATTGTTATCTGTTTTTTTTTAGCCCTAATTAAGGCCTGAACTATGGGCCGAAACCTCGAAAAAAATAAAAATAAATATACTTATTTCTTTTATTTTTTTTTTACTGATCAACCCAACCTTTCTTCTCTTCTATAATTATATTAATTGTATTATCATCACAAACAAAGATAAAATAATTTTGAGCACCATGGTATAGTATGTGTTTAAAAAGAATGAAAAGAATCGTTTCTTCGAAAAATTTTACGTTATTTAAACAGCAGACAAAAAAAAGTTAAAATTACAATTGTTACTCAGCACTATTTTATGACAAAACCAAGTAGTTTTAATCGTTTCGCTTTGGTAAAATTTATTCAGTTGAAGAGGAGTTTCAAAACACGAACATTTAAGTCAAAGTGAACTACTTTCCTTTTGTATACTTCTGTCAGAAGGGTTTTCTTTGTTTATTCTCTTCTTCAAAATACTCATAAACAAACTTTGATGTTTGGTTATGACTTTGACGTATAAGATGTTAGACAGCGTTTTGAAAAGTTTTCCTTTGTGAGCTGAGAAAGTTCTCCTGAAGAATATGAGTGTTCAAGATGTCAGTCGAATCATTTTCAATTTTACATAATATATTTCCAGTATACCGAAAAAAAAAAAAAAATGTATGTGAGCTTTGACATATATAAAATATGAGGCTTCATAATATTCACCTAATAGTGACTCTAATCAGGAACTAGAAAGAATGCCTCCGTTGTAACACCAATTTCGGTTCAACTTAACTCCATTGAATGGTTATTTTCGTAAAATGGGAACGGAATCCGAGAATGTTATATAAAGCGTTGTTACAGATAGTAATAGAGCGCTTGAGATTTCTCTCGCTCTAGAAAGCATTGCCCCTTATACTTCGTATCAGTTAAACGCTACACAGCCTAAACTGAATGCGCTACTTCGTGGTACTTCCACGGACGGATCTTAGCGGTGATGAAGTATATCCAGAAATTGAATAGAGTGCTTTCGGTCTGAAGTTCCCCAAAAAAAGCAAAAATTTATTATTTTTTCATTGGTCCATATTTGTTACTGATCTAAGGTAAATACTTAAATGCAATTCTATTTTCTAAATTAAAATGCATATACCGCTACTAATATAACAAAGTCTTAGGAAATATTTAAAAATTATCTCCAAAAGTATTATTGTTCGTTACTTTTTTAATTAGGTTTAAGAAATCACATAAATTTAATTAATTTCTGGATCCGGTACTGGTTTTAGGGAAAAATCTAGTTCTCAACAGATCTATGCTAATCTTGTATAGTAAATTTAAAATCAAAAATCCTTTAAGGTCTTTATTGATCTTTTTAGCAATTTTGCATTAAAATGTAAGCAAATTGTCACTAAAAACGTTTTTATTTACGATTTTGTATTAATGTGCAAATTTGTTTTGTAATTCCACAAAAAAAAAAAAAAAAAAAAAAAAAAAATGCTTTTACGCGAAATTAAACATTTAGTTATATCAGGTTAATTAAAAGAATTTGGGAAAAAATAACACTCTGGTGATATCCGGATACTTATCTAGAAAACATTACATAATTTATAACAATTGAGTGGCCTGATATCGAAGTTGGACATCGTCATTTTCAGAAAGTGGAGATAAAGTCAATTTTTGTTTTGTAGGTTCAATTCAAACTGTTTTTTGATGATTTTATTAAGAATGTTGATTATGTTAAGTTTAATTATGAAAATAAATTGTTAGAATTGGCTTAAATTATGGCTATGTTGCAAAAAATGGCTCTTTCTTGACTTTTAAATATGACAGATGCCCGTCATTGATATTAGGCCACTCAATTGTCTTCCGTTTTTGTTTTAATTTAGGTATTGTTCCTAAGATTCATTAACTTAAAAAAAAAATGATTTTTTTCTCGGAAAGTAGAGTGGTAAGAGAAAGTGTGATATATCTTACCAGATTTTGAATCGTATATATAAATTTCTATCGTCTAAACTTTTATAATTACAAATTTCTTTAAACCTCTCAAAAGTAGAAAGTACACAACGCCCTTTTATAAAAAGAAAACAGTTACATTCTTGATTGTGGAACTTTGACCGAAAAGTTTATGTCACCTTAAGCCTATCGTACTGTAATAAACTCCTGGAAGTTTGCCTAAGAGAACCACCATAATGTTGCAATAAAGCCTTGGTATTATCAGTAAAACCTTATACACATTTTCTTGATGGGTTGTTCCTTCTTTAGTGTCTAACTCTCTTGAGGTTAACCCGTATATAATCTAAAATTTGTTTGTTGATGTTGAAGGAATGATTTGAATAAATTATAAAAGGAAAATCATATTTAAATATTTAAATACCCGCTTTAATATTGTATTGATATTATTCAATATATCATGACCTAGATTATTTTCAGTTTTATAAATCTAACCGACTCGGTTATTTCAGAAACAGCATATTTGAATACCGTATAGGTTTTGAGTTGATACTTTTTTCTGGATAGATTGTTCATTCTAACATCTTATAATGAAAGAAAACACTATTCAAAAACTGAAAAAAGATTGACGGTTACGTTCATACCATAAAACACAGAACTGATTATGTGAAATCTTCGCTAGCATTTTTTGGGACATTAAAAATATGGTTTGTCTTTAGGTCTACCCTTGAGCCCGAGGAATGTCATATCGCAATTTTATAGTGTAAGTGAGGGACAAAAACAATCATACTTTAACTTAACAATTTTAATTACTTCGCTCAGAAATATCAGTGACTCTTTATTCCTGACTTCTGTCTGAATTATATCTGACTTCTACAACTGCATTCGTTAAAAAAAAAAAAAAAAAATTGAGTTCCGTTCTTGTAAGCAAAGATGAAATGATACCTTGGTCTGTTTTTTTTTTCATTTTATTTTATCACTATACGAAATGACAGAGGTGCTATAGTTCTTAGTGGGCTAGGATTCCCTACCGAAATGAATATACGCGATTTTATTTTTTGTTATGATTAATTTTGTTTTGTTAAAGATAATTTTGATTTGTATAGTGAATATATATTTGATATTTTTTTATTTTGTTTCAGACTACGTTAGCGGCGGAGAACTGTTTACGCACCTATACCAACGCGAGCACTTCACCGAAAGCCAAGTCAAAATATACATCGGAGAGATAATCTTGGCTCTTGAGCACCTCCATAAGGTAAGAATATGTAACATTTAAATGAATCTGAAATAAAAATGACGCGTGTTGGAGTGTAAATTATTTTAGAAAGAATTAGATTGGATAGTTTAGGAAATATATTTTAAACTCAAGACCTATGTAAACCGATTGTCAACATAATGTTCGTACTATTTGTTCTGAGTTACATCATTGATAAGTGACGGGGTTGGAATGATAGTGATGCAAATAAATTTTACTTTATGCCGAGAAATAATATGTTTTGTAGATCGTGTTTGATATATATACTATTCATTCATCATTGAAGTGAATTAGCATAACATTCACTTTTTGCACAAAAAGCATAATTGACTTACTCTGCTATTTTTCTAACCTCCTGAAAATTCTGCGTAATGCGGCAGGCGTCACAGGTATACCATGCCGCATAGCAAGCTATTCCAGGCTCTAGTCACACAGAACGGACTATAGGTGCTTTGGCCTGGCCGCATGGTGGTAGGACAATAAAAATAAAATAATAATAATAAAATCTATATTAGTAATATATTTGTTTTTAATAATAATAATAATAAAAAAAGGCTTAGCTTTTATTATTATATAATAATAATAAAAGGCTTAAAAATAATAATAAAGGCTTGGCTTGATATTTGTTTTTACTTTTTTTATTTTAAATTACTAATTTCATTGTAAGAACTATCGCCATACCTCATCTTATTTGGTATGTAAAAATTATTAATTGCAGTTAGTGAAATGATTTATTCTGAAATATTTGAAAAGTCGAATCAATTTTAAATAATGACTAGTTCTATTTTCCGACAAAATATTACCTTATTCAAGAAAAAAAAAACGAGTTTCAATTTTAAACATACAATTTTAAATGTATTTATTGAAAACTAACGTTTTTTATTATCTTTATATTTTTAAATTTATTTCATCTTAATAATATGCTCTAAATTGTTTCGAAAATTTATATCATTTTCTTCGGATCTATTTCTTGTTGTAGCGCTTATTCACTTCGGGGATTTTTGCTGAAATGCATATTTGTTTACTTCGTTGTTCTCTCCCCAATTATCGTCGTTTCGATGTGTGGTCAGCCTCAGGCTTAGGTTGATGAAGGTAGATTAGAAAAAGAATGCAGTATCAAATATGTTATTTTAAGAATTTCAATTGAAAGTTGTAAATTTTCGGTTAGGCTCCACCATCTTAATGTAATAAGAGATAATTATTTAATCTGTATTGGAACATTTCTTAAAAGAGCGTGCTCTAGAGATATAGTTCAACACGATATTTTTGCTTTATTTCTGTATTTATTTAGGTTTGCAGAATTTGCAATCCAACCGGTGTCTCCATATACTGTTATTATTCAACATTAATCTCATAAATTATGCGATTAATCTAATAATAGCTTAGAGGCTTGAATTATCTTAATGATCAGATCCAATCTACCGCTGAATTCCTAAAACGGATAGCCTGATTATTTATTTATTTTTTTAACTGCTAATATTTTTTAAGTGAATGGAAATAGCACTATTTTTATTTAGTTATTTGATCACTATTTTCAACAAAAAAAAAATCAGAATATTGAGCACTTCATTGTTATATAACATCGTTGTTTTTAGACAAATCTTACGATTCATCATTGCTTCATTTGTAAATTATTTTTAATATATTGGAAGGAGACAGATATGAGATATTTCGGTAGAGTGGAAATATGTGTTTCCAAAAAGTCTCCTTGGAATCGAGGACAGCTATACAAAGAGACCCAGAAACTAGAGTAGATATTTTCGGTTATTTCTGTATCAGTCAGAGGTGTAAACCATCGGGCTGGAACCTAGAGCGTCGCTCAGCTTCTATTTCAGTACTGCTTTTGTTATGTCAAAACGCCCGTCCTATAGAGTGGTCTCTGGTAAATAGATGTTTAAAATAATTTCCACCAGATATAATCTTACATATCTCTTATTATGTATTTGTTCCATGCGGTTAAAAGTATATAACTGAAATGTTATTCGATGTAAAACATTGTAACTCATGTGATAAAAATCGGTTAGCTGTCATTCCAACTGGCAGTGTAATGCAAAACTTTATTCCTATCATATGTTTATTTTTTCTAATTTAAGTCAACTTCCATCCTATCGGTATCAAAAAAAAAAGAAATTAATTAACATTGTATAAAGTACGGAATATATATCAGCTTATTTTACTTAAAAGAAAATTCCATGAATTAAAAAGTGACCATGATGAAAAAATATATATATCTGCTTGTATTTTTAAAATTATAAACTAAAAATTTGAATGAAAAAGATCATAAAATATTTTAAAAGTTTTTTCCTACTCGAAAGCCCGCTAGTCAGTTTTGGGTTGGTTATAGGATGACAAAGAAATTAAGAAATATTAAATGAATTTGAATAACATCTATGGTGTGGTATATTTGTAGCAGACAATTTTAAAAATAATGGTTTAATAAATTATGAAAAAAAAAACTAAGGTGTTTGCTTTCGAACGAACGAAAGAAGTGAGCTTAATAATAAAGCGAGATTAATAATATGAAATATAAATCATAAATAATAACTCATTATAAAGAGGACAAAATGGAACAATTCCATTTTACTTAAAAGAGGAATCGTATAGGAGTCCGATTTTTAATTTTTGAGATATCTGACTCCATTATGCACAAACAGTTCAATTGGTCAACTCCAGCTGACAGCGTTACACATCGGAGATCTGACGGCTCAATATAATTCACTCAATAATAGAAATTATTAAATCATTGGTAGCTTTTGAAAATGGGCAACAAAACCCTGAAACTTCAAGCTAATATTCTTCCTATAAAAGTCTACTTACATTCTTCCAATTTATATCATTTCTACTGTGTTTTTTTGTTGTTGTTTTTTGCAGTGTTTACATTCCTGTAACCCCAACATTTTTTGTAAATATCCCGAATGATACGTCGATTATTAAAAAATCGTAACGGCAGTATTTCGATTGAATTCTATTTTTTCTCAGTTAAAATAGACCTCAACAATAGCTAAGAAGTTTGAAAAACGTCAAATAAATTGCTTTTATATAACAATTAAAAAATAATGGTACGATTTCTTCCCCTCAAAAAAAAAAAAAAAAATGGTTAAATATAACCATTCATGTCTTATGAAAAAAATTATCTTTTAAAGTATTATTTTTCATGTAATTACTTTTATTAGTTCTTCATGAATCACTTCTACTCCATTTCATGTACGTAGTAGTTTCTTTATTTTTCATCCAAAGTAATGATAGTTTTATATATATATATATATATATATATATATATATATATATATATATGTATCTTTCTGGCTTAAGCCCCTCCCCAAAATTAAATCCTCAATCCGCTACAGCCTGTAGATTATTATAAGTATCAATAAATAAAGTTCTTCCTCATTCCTATTTCTCTAAAACGACCGCCTTGAAAAAGTGAAAAATGTTAACAAAGAGGTTTTCCATTGTTAGAGTGGATTCTAGAACCGTGACAGATTCCCCAGCCAGCCGCCAAATGTCACGTTATGTTACCTTTTGTCCTATTATATAAACATCCGCTGAAAATATTTACCAATGCTATCTTATTCTTTAACTGCAAAACTATTTCATTTTCTATCAGTGTTTTTTTTTAAAGATACACAGGGAAAAGGCTGTAATGATTTTGATTAAACTCGTTACAATCTACAATTAATTTTTTTTTAATATAAAATAGGCCTTATTCTAATTGATGAAGTCTGATAGGCCATGACGAATTTTCATAATGGCTTCCTCTTAAGTATCTTTAATCCGTTTCATTGAAATAATTAACAGTCTTCTTCGGTTATTTATAATTAGAAATGAATGCATATAAACCATGTAAGAATTTGATAATTATAAAAATAAAAAAAAAAATACTAAACATCTTCCAGGTAGAAAACTTCATTCTGTAACATCATAAGTGTAATAGATTATTGCAAAGCTAATATGTTTGGGTGCTGGCGAAAAAAAAAAAAAAAAATGGAATCATTTCTGAAAACTAATATTAATAAATGAAAATCAAATATTTCCATGGAAATGAAATGAAGTTACCTAACAGAATTTTGCAATTATTTTTAAGTTCGACATATAAAAAATATATAATACATCTAATTATCATTGTAGTAAAAACGTTCGATCTGATTGGAATGAGCATCGTTTTGGATGGAATTGAATATAGTTTAATTTTATAATCACGAAATCGGACTTGGAGAATTAACAATAGGATCCGTCAGATGTTTTACAAATGAAAGGTCCTTTACTTGTTGGGCCAACGAAAAGGAAATGTTAGCAAAATACTGAGCAATAATCCATAATATTTGATTAGTTAGCAGCAAATGTTTACAATTCTTGTTTGTGGCGTTGGCTCTTCTATCCTTCTCGGTCCTTGGATAGCCTTAACAATTATTCTCTCCGAAGAATTTGTTTTAATTTTTAAGAAATGAAATCTGATAAGACTGAGCAACTAGAAATAATAAACCAGGAAGCGATTTATTCTTTAAAACCTTAATAAATAAAAAAATATATATGTACAGCGGTATATTTTGAAGTGAGTATATTATATTATGAAATTTTAATTTTAACAAAAAAACACACAAAAAAAACCGCATTATATCAAAGTTTAAATGTGGATCATAAAAGAATCCAGAGCAGTTCATACGATCTTGAAGCCTACTTAGTTGATCGATTTAGCTTGGTAACTGTTATGTAAGAATCTAAACCGTTCCATAACTGTGCCAGTTAAATATCATACATCATAAAGTAGTGACCTACATATTTTTGTTTGAATAAAAAATAATAATGAAGTCTTCGGCCTCGTTGTCAAAATTCAGTATAAAACCTTTTGATTTAGATTTAATTTATTTTTTAACAAATTATTACCACATGAAAGTGTATCAGTTTCTGGTATCAATATTTAAAAACAAAACATTTAAAAAAAATCTCAGTATGATAAAAATTTAATTCTTTTAAAGAAAGAAATGGTTGGAGGTGGCAGT